TCAAGAAAATAATTAATTGATATTCAAAGCCACTCTTGCGGCTTGGTCACTTGTTGAACCAAGTTGGAGAAACCAGAATATATGGTAGACAGGGTAGACAGGGTAGACTAACCACATGAGACTTGAGCAAAGTTTTTTTGGTAAAGCATTTTTTATACATATTGGAAATATCTCCTCAAATTCATACAGAAAATATTGCTTACTATAAAAATAAAAAATCCTTTGCCTTTACTAGGACTTAAGTTTGTGATTTCATTTGAATTGTATGATTCTTCCTACTAACCAAGAAACCCTAGATCTACTCTAATAATATATAATATAATATCTAAGATTTATTCCCATAATTATGTGAATCATATCTCCTAATGATATAATTCACATCTTATAATATTATATTTCTATCAATACAGAAGCCACAAGCTTGTACTTATTTAAAAGCAGTTGAATATTTTTTGTTTTCTGTGCTTGGTTTGCTGTTAAGAACTACTGGTATCTGTTACTACTTAATCTTTTGAAGATGTCAAAAACCACAATCTAAAGACCAGGAAGTTGGTTTTGTAGGCTTGCTGCTGCTGATGCATTGATCTTCCTTTTGTATTGTTGAGCATCAGTATCGATCCTTGACACACAATCCTTGTCATGCCATTTGAAGAGTGTTCTTGCTAATGGAAGGCAACCCAATGGTGGCAGAGAGGTAACTCCTATCTTTCTGGCTCCTAACCCATACAAGTCCTGTTTGCCATGTGCTTGTGTTTTACTTATACTATCAGATTTTACAGTATGCATACAAAGGTGTAATGGATTAACACCTTTGTACGCAACTGGAGAAGACACTAACGAGATATGAACCATATTCATTTGGGGTGTGGACTTTGTTGATTAATGGATTGACATGGTGGTTCTGAATGAAGTTGCTGCTGCCAGCACTAAGTATATATAAGGCATCCTTGATGATGAATGCAGACTTTCTATTTCCAGCCATCTTTGCTAGTTTTTTCTGGGTAATCCTTATAATACTCTAGTTGCTGTGACAAAGGGATGGTATGCTGCAAAATAGCAAAATTGGGAAGAGCTAAGGAGTGTAAGATGAAAATATGCATAATAAGATAGAGTTCTCACATTAATGATAGATGCTTTGTCATCATAGCCAGATGCAGCTGAAGCGAAATTGGCCCCAACTAGAAGGTTCTTCCTTGATGCTTCCAGGCTAAGATATGCTGGGGCATAACATAAGTTTTGAATCCTAGTGTTTTAGTTACATAAGAAATCTAGCCAGTTTAGTAAAGACCAAAACACTACACAACTTGGTACTTTTTGTTCTTACCAGTGATATAAATTTCCTTTGCAAAACCTGCCAGTAGGTTTGTGATTGATGAAGTCCCTACCATTAGGAGGGTAATTAGCCTTGAAAAGGGTGGGGAGATATAGTCATTGTTACCAACATCTGCTGTAGAGTCCCCTAAGGTTATGATGGACAGAGCAGAGCACCTGAGTCTTGAGCATACCCTTTGCTTAGAAATGCAAATACAAAGAGCAATAACATTGCTCTTTTATTATACCTGTCCACATATTTTGCTCAGCAGGGAACTTTGAACTGTGACTTAGGCCTTATAAAAGGACACTGAAGTGACCCAATTGTGGCTTTGTCATGAAGATGGAAGTTGAGAAAGGGTAATAATAAATGGGGGTAACAAATTTCCAATTGAGCAGCCATTAAGCAAGATGAACTTTCCAAGTGAGCAGACCTAAGACATAAGGGTAAATAGGAGGCCTACAAACTTGAAAGTTAAATTATTACATCAAGTCATAAAATGGGTGTGGAATGTTAAAACAAAAAAAAAAGAATTAAATTTCTACAATGGGAATTAAATTACTGATTAGTTCATTTTGATAATGCACATCTACATTTCAAGGATTGGTTGCATGTTAGGGGATTGTTAGGCGTTCCAAACCCAACCATGGGGGCTCAAGGACTGGGTTCTCATCAATATCTAATTTAGTATATCCTAATGTTTTAAGATAAAAAATTTCAAGTAAGGATGGCAATGGCAAAGAGCCCTAGCCTTAGGGACCTCCTCATCATCCCTTGTCCCTGGCAGTGGTAGGTGCAAGGATCCTCACAAAGATTTTGATGGGGGCAAAAAAAGCCTTGCATCACCATCCCTAGGGGAATGAGGGGTCCTCACAGGTATGGGAAATTCCAGCTAAAGTAAACTAAACTAAATATTTTCATTTGGAATTTAAATTGATGGAGGGCAAGTTCTTGCGCATTAGAGACATTACGACCTAAGAAGAAAAAAAATAATTAAATTAGAATGTCATGTAAAATTAATTTTATGAAACCACTGCTTTACAAATTTAATAGAAGTAGAGAAAGAGCATATAAGATTGCTTAAATTAAAACCCAACTATATCTCAATTTATTCACTTTCAATTTCTTCTCACACGTAAAGGTACTATCCAAAATCTTGCTTCTACCCTTAAAAAGAGTCAAACTTGATACTTGATTCGCACTTAGTAAACTCAATCTACACTAACTAAAACATTCTAGAACTATTTTAACTTTAAAAATTAAAAACACTCATTTAGAAAAATAAATAATTAGACTAATCCAAACTCCACAATGAAGGTAAAGATTTTACAAAGGGCATCCTACTACTTAAATAGAATTGATATTGACAATGTAATCAACTAAATGATATTAATACTACTTGGGAAATAGTATATGTTATAAAAATATAAATTGACAGTTCTTTAAATTTCAACTCTGGATCAACACCTTCACCATTGCATATAAATCTTGTAGAGAAGTGAGGGTATAGAGGAAATGAAAAGTTGTTATTCCCAATTGTGTAGCTGAACACCTTTGGATCAACACCTTCACTGCCTGTACATGTCTGCTTGGAGCCCCAATCAGGGCTTGGCCTTGCCAAATGCTTCACCTCTGACAATGTGTTTAATGCACTGGACTCAAGAAAAACTAACCAAGGCTTGAGCAAAGTTTTATTGGTGAACATTTTTTCTTTTTATATACATCCGGGAATTCATACAGAAAATATTGTGTTAAAAATAGAAAATCCTTTGCCTTTGCTATTGCCTATCAAGGACTTAACTAGAATTCATCTGAATCTTGTGATTCTTCCATGACGATTTGTATCCCTTGGTTTGTTGGTGTTTGTTGGGAATGCATACCTAATGCCAAACACTCCTTGAGTTCTACAAGCACATGACTTAAGTCTGGCCTTTGGTCTGCAGATATCGATGCACATGACATTGCTAACTTTGCGACTCTTGAAGCAGTGTTGATATTGAATTTTCCTTGCAACCTTGGATCAACAAGTCTTTCGATATCCCCTGTCTTCATTATAGGCTCTACCCGAGCAATTATACGCAGAATAGGGTGGCACTCTAAAGCTATAGCAGGCCAACCGGTTAACAACTCTAGTAAAATTATGCCGAAGCTGTATAGGTCAGTTTTCTTGTTTACTTTTGATGTCTCCCAATACCTATATGAAAAACATAAAAGATGAACTATTTGCTGAAGTTAAAAGGGATTAGCTGATAGCTGTTTGGCTTAAGTTTAATACTTACTGAGGATCGAAGTATCCAACTGATCCGCAAAGTACAGTAGATTCTTCAAATTCTTTATGCAAAAATTTAGCCATTCCGAAATCAGATATCTTGCCTTGCATGTTGTCATTTAAAGAAATAACACGGGATGTCAAATTTCTATGGACTACAAATGACTTGCAACACGTCTGCAGATACTCCAATCCTGCAATTCTAACATAGCATTAGTTGATAGCTCATGGGGAAAGTAAAGCAAAAGAAATTAAACGAAGTTTTCACTAAATAAATTAGGACCATATGCGATATCAATAGCAATTTGAAGCCTCTCATTCCAGCACAAAATTCTTTCGTATTTCCCTATAGGCAAAAAATAAATAAATAAATAAAGAAGAGCAAGATAACAAATTTTAGTTCAGGTAATCAAACTAAAAATGGTTAACTTATATGGTGAATCCAAACCTGATAAATGCTCTCTCAAATTTCCATTAGCCGTGTATTCGTATATCAATGCCCTGATGTTATTTTCATCACAGTATGCCACTGCAGAAACCACATTTCTGTGACAAAGGTGACTTAATTGTTCTACCTGCATTCAAGAATGATGTTTCGTCAAAGTGAAATTCATTTGTATTTATCTTTGATGTTATAGAGTGTTGAGAAAATGGCTGCAGCGATCCAACCTCGGTTCGGAATTCATAATATTCTTGGTTTGATAATGATGGAGGCAAAACCTTAACAGCAACATGAGCGCCATCATTTAGAGTGCCAAGGTAAACTTTCTGAAATCTTCCTTCCTCAATAACATTTTTAAAATTTGAAGTTATTGTAGCAACCTTAGTTCGGGTAAAGATTCTAATATTCCCTGAATTCGGTGGCTGTTGTTCCACCATAGATTTCAAAATGGCCCCTGAAGCAATGAAAATCATGTTTCTTTGTAAAAACAATACCTTTGCTTGACTCTAAGATGAAACAAAGAGAAAAGAGAATACCTTTTTGTCTTTGTCTTATGTTTCTGTAGAATCTGAATAGGATATTGGTTCCACTGGCCTCATCCAGCACTTTAGAATAATCCACCTCTATGTCCAAACACGCCTCAAGGTTTGTCAATATTTGACTAATGTTAGGCCTTTCTTTAATTGGCTTCACGCATGACACTGCTATCTTTATTACTTTTCGCGCGACGCTGATGTTGAATTCGCCATTTAGCCTTGGATCAATGATTTGCCGGATATCCCCTTTTTTGATTAAAGCATCAATCCAGAAAGTTATGTTAATGCTTTCCTCTTTCTCTGGTGTTATGACTGCTGGCTTACCAGTAACTAACTGAAGTAGAATTATCCCAAAGCTATACACATCACTTTTCTTGCTTATTTGTCCCATTTTAAAAGAACTGTATGGAAAACACGAAAAAATTTATATCAATCAGATTTTGAACAAGAATGGTTAATCTTGTTAAAGATTTAATTAAAATCTTACTCAGGATCTAGGTATCCAAATGTGCCTGCAGGGTGAGTTGATATATGAGTGGCAGATTCTGTTACAAAATCTCTGGATAATCCAAAATCAGCTATCTTTGCTTGCATGTATTCATTCAATAAGATGTTGTCAGGTTTCAAATCTCTGTGGACTATTGGTGGCTTCCGACCATGTAGATATTCTAACCCTACAATTCTAGTATTAAATTAGTTGATAGGTCCTCGAAAATGGAAAGCAAAAGAAATTGAAGAAAGTTTTCGCTAAATAAATTAGTACCATAAGCAACATCCAAGGCAATTTGAAGCCTTTGAATCCAAATCAAAACTCTTTTGCTTTTCTCTGCATGAAAAACATAAAAACTTTTAGTTCAAATGGTCAAGCTTAAGAACAGTTAAAATTAGTGATGGTGAATCCAAAGTCCAAACCTGATAAATGTTGTTTCAAATTTCCATTAGACATATACTCCAATATCAATGCCTCCTTACCATCTTCATCGCAATATCCCAGTAAAGAAACCAAGTTTAGCTGATGGACATCAGTCAACAGTTTTGCCTGCATTTTAAGATGATGCTTTGTTATAGTGAAGTTTATTTGTTAAGATGTGCAATGCTATACAGTGTTATGAAAAATGACTACAGTGATCCAAACCTCTGCAATGAATGCCTTACGACATTGCTCGGCTGTTGAAAGTAGAACCTTAACAGCAACATCAGTGCCATCCTTCAGAGTGCCAAAGTAAACTTCTCCAAATCCTCCTTTCCCAATTATCGTTTTGAAATTTGAAGTTATTTCAATAATCTCAGAGGATGTAAAGGTTATAGTCTTTGAATTCATTGACGGTTCCTCTATTGATTTCCTAATCCCTAATCAGTGAAAAGCATATCATGTTTCAGGTTAAATACAAAAATAAGGTAAAATCAACGACCTGTTGATCCGAATGAAAAGAGTTCGGTTTCCTTAAATAAGATCTCAAATTTGATTTTTATAAATAAAAAATTAAGCATTAGAAGAGCTTCCCCACATATGGATCTGATCTGATTCAATTTCGTATTAATCAAGACTATATGGTTCTTGGACATCGGAAGTTAATACCAAAAAAAAAGAAAAAAAGAAAAAGAAGAAGAAATAAGGTAGAATCAATCTTCCTTTAGGTTAAACACAGAAATAAACAAAAACCAGAATTGCCTTTCTTGCTTACTCTAAGAAAAAAAAAAAAGAAAAACCTATTTTGCCTTCTGTTCGGGATTTTGCAAATTATGAGTTTGACACAGAGCAAGAAGGCAGGATTAAACCATGCATAATAAACAAAAAAAAAAAAAAATATATTTTGCCTTCTGTTCGGAATTTTGCAAATTATAAGTTTGACATAGAGCAAGAAGGCAGGATTAAACCATGCATAATAAACAAAAAAAAAAAAAAAAAATCTCAGGGCGCCGACTGTCTCCCTGTTTTAAATAATTTCAGCTTCTGCTCAACAGACGAAAAAAGAGGCATGACGGAAGACGTTCGAAAGAGAGAGAAAAGAGCTTTAAAATATGTACTTCCGATCTTCTTCTTGTTTTTTTTTTTTTTTGGTTAAAACCCCTTTTTGGTCCCCAAACTATTGTATGGACCCCCGATTTAGTCTTTGAACTAAAAAAATCCCTGATTTGATCCCTACTGTTTACCCATTTTACCCCAACTTGGTCCTTTCGTTAAAAATCATCCATTAACTCACAGACATATCAAAAATTTAAGACACGTCAGTTGTCCAACTGGGCTAAATGATGACATGGCCATACCCAACACAAAAACAAAAGTGGGGCCCACCAAGTTACAATTTTGCATCATCTTCTTCCTCCAGCATCTCCTTTCTCGAATCTTCCTTCATTCAAACAATCAATTCAATATCGAACCCAACAGGTGCCCTTTCTTTTTCCTTCCTCTTCCTTACCTTGCCTTCTTCATCTTAATCAAACAAT